GCATAAGATATGTTATCTGGGTCTTCCTGGAATTTTAGGCTTTAGATGTGTAACCGAGGGATGATGGTTTGCATTTATCTTATTCTGTCATATATTTTTGCATTTCAATCATAGCAATGTACTCTATGTTTGTTGTTTGCAGTCACATATACAAATCCTAGAATCTGCTCCCGAAAATATATCTTTATTATTTGCGGGTCTGGAATATCTCATTAACATATCATATGTTGATGACACTGAAGTATTCAAGGTATGTGCATTACCATTGTTAATACTTTTTGCTGTTGATGCAGTTTTATGTTTCAGTTAATTTTTTCTTTACTGATAATAGAAATGGCTCATGTTATTTGTCAAATATTTGGAAATTGACAGCTTTTACTTGCTTACGAATGAACAGGTTTGTTTGGACTATTGGAATTCATTAGTTGTGGAGTTGTATGGGACGCGTCATCATTTCGGTCACCCTGCACTAACTCCAAGTCTGTTTGGATTGAAAGTAAGACTTCTTTATGTTCTTTTGTAAGATGGAAATTAGGTTTGTATATTGTACTGGTTAAACTTGCTTTGATGTGGCTACTTACTTACCTCTGGCCTGATTTGCCTACTGTCAGATGAATTTCCTTCCTCGTACGGTTAATGGTGTCAAACCTGAAGTCACGGATCGGCATAAACTTTATTCTGATCCAACGTCAAAATTAAGGGGACTCATGATTAGTCGCATGGCTAAGCCTGAAGAAGTTCTAATTGTTGAGGACGAAAATGGGAACATTGTCCGTGAAACAATGAAGGATAATGATGTTCTTCTCCAGTATAAGGTACCAACTCTACATATGGCCTCTCTTCAGTTATATAAGTTATACTAGATCTCGCCCACACATGGCATGGATATAAACATAGTTATTAAACAGTATATTTATATATGTGTCGTAAAATTGTATTTAGCTGCTATATGCAGTTGCTATGAAATATTAACTTATGAAGTATATCTATATATTCATTATTGTTAAAATTTCGCAATTTTTTCTTCATTTATTACATCTTGTCTATTTACGTACTAAACACTATCTTGAATGCAATAAAAAAAATTAACAAAATAACTATAAAGGAATGTTTGCTAAGATTTTTATTTAATTTATATATTAAAAGAACTCTAATGACACTTTTCTCTTTTTTCTTGACCCATGGTTTCACACTTTCTTTTCTAATCGCTTCTCCTTTTGATATATAGTATACCAGTAATGTTATGATAATTAGAAGGAATTTCTATTTATATATACCCTACTTTTGGGTTTCAACTATATGGTATTCCCCTTTCATATTTTACATCGTTGCAGATAATGCGGGAGACGTTAATCTACCTCTCACACCTTGATCATGATGATACCGAACGACAGGTACTTATTATGAGGGATGCCAGGTTATTTTTATTTATGTGGAATGATATAGTTTAAAAAATTTACCTTCATGCTCTTTGAGATGGTACTTGTGTACTAATGGTTGGATATGCTGCGAAATATATTGAGTATTAGCGTTTGGAGGATAATGATAAAGTATAGTGCCTACAAAGGTATTCTTTTGTTTTGAGGAGAGGACCAGTAGAGTATCCATAATTTCTTCAACTTAAATGTAGAAGTGTTTAGTAGATTCTAACATGCGGAATAGCTGTATATTGTAAGGTTAGAGTCTTGGCTGAATCATGTTGTATTGATGTCAACTTTTCTTGTGCCTTCAAAGATGTTGAGTAAGCTAAGCAAACAGTTAAGCGGGGAGGAATGGGGATGGAACAATCTGAACACTTTATGCTGGGCTATCGGGTCTATTTCTGGTTCCATGGGAGTAGAACAGGTAAGATCTCCACTCTCAGTGTCTACTTGTATCTTCAACTAACAACAGTTGATATTTTTGTCTGTAATGCTGCAAATACCTTTTTGGCTCTAGGTATTTGGTAGCATCTTTCTAATGTTATTAGTGCTCTTTGTTGGTCTCCCATTGATTTGTGGTCCAATTATGTGGGATTGGTTCCACCAGTGTTTTGCGAATTTTATGTCTGTTACTGAATCATCTAAACTCCATGTCTTTTTTCAGGAAAACAGATTTCTGGTGATGGTTATACGGGATTTGTTAAGTTTATGTGAAGTTGTCAAGGGAAAAGACAATAAAGCTGTTATTGCAAGCAACATCATGTGAGTGTGCTTCTACATCGTAGATCCTAGTATTACAAGCAACATCATTTTGTTATTAATTTAGGCATGGATTGTTGGTACTTATGTAGCGTGAGATTTTCACTAGAGTGGATCCCTTATTTCTTGCTAGCATCCGAAAACTTGGCTTCTTTCATGCATGATTCATTTTAGTATTTGACTGCTGTGTTCTTTTACATTCGCTTCAGGTATGTAGTTGGACAGTATCCAAGATTCTTAAGGGCCAATTGGAAGTTTCTGAAAACAGTTGTTCATAAGCTGTTTGAATTCATGCATGAGACGCATCCTGGTGTTCAGGTAATTCTTCCCTTGTTCAAGTTAGACTTTATAATTCCTGCAGGAGTTACAGCTTCGTGGTTTCATAAAATGTTTTTGATGCTTTGCCTGTGGTCTATGGTTGTCTGGTTGATCTAAAATCTGCTCAAGCTAATATACTATGTCTTCCTTTCAGGACATGGCTTGTGATACATTCTTAAAGATTGTTGAGAAGTGCAGACGCAAATTCGTTATTGTTCAGGTATGTGCTGGTCTGTTTAATACACCTTTTAATTGTTAATTTATCATATAAAATGAGGTCTTATGTGCTATTCAGGTTGGAGAAAGTGAGCCATTTGTATCTGAGCTTTTATCAGGCCTTGCTACAACTGTTGGACATCTTGAGCCTTATCAGATTCACACATTTTATGAATCTGTATGTATTCTTAGCCGTGTCTATTTTATGGAGATGGGAAGTTATTTCTTGTCGTGGTCTCACTGTT